CAAAGAAATTAAATTCCTCCAAAGGGCAAATTAACAACCTTGAGAGACTCAAAGTACTGCAGTTTCTGTGTTTAGATGAGGAACTGCATGTCCAGTAGTTTGTAAACAGTGCAGATTTTTTATCTACAATCCAAAGGGCAAACAGATAAATGATGACAGGCTCTGAAATAATGGAAATTAACTGGTCTACAAGGGCCACTATAAGGAGAAGATGATGATTTTCAGAGGATTTCTTGGGCACACTCTATTGATTAAAGTAACAATATCATGGAGCTCTTGCACACATTCTTCTTGTCCTAAGAGAATTTTGTAAAAATCCTTGTTTGGGAGCACAAAACTGACTTCACTTCTGTGGCTGCTGAGCAGAGACAGCTGTTGCAACTTGTGACAATGTTTTCAAGCATTCTCATTTTGAAGAAAAGCTTATTCTTGATCATTGATTTGGCATTATTTCCAATCACCTTCTATGGTTATGCAAAAGAAAGCACAGAACAAATTATTATAAGTAGATGCTAAGTTCACCAAAGGATAATTTTAGTTTAACAATTGGGATTGTTATTTCAAAACTTACATACCCACATGCAATTGGACTTATTCTTGACAGCAATAATTTACAATATCTTCAGTTCTACCTGAGGAACTTTCTTGACAGATTTCATACAGAAACCAGAAGTGACAGTTATTATGATACTTTTAATAGAAATAATCTCAAAATTCATGAGCTACCATCTTCATAAATATTTATTATGAAGTTTAATCGCATTTTAATGTGATTAGATGTTAAATAGCAATGTTCTGAAATACCCTACTTGACTAAGGAAAATTTCAGTTCTATGCAAACAGCAAGTTTAAAAAGTTGCATTTGTTGTTTCCTTTTTTAAAGAATGCAACTATAATATTACTGGGAATTGATGCCATTCTAGCATTTTATCTATCCTCTTTTTTTTCTCTAAGCACACGGAAATTAGATTTTGAGAGTGAGATTTTGAGCTGTAAAGTACTGACCCAGTCTGCTTAGAAAAATGGGCATAATTTTATTAAAGCTTATTCTGCCTAAATTCCTATATCAGGTCCACTTTCTTAGGTATAGCTGTTGCTAATGAATAGTGTAAAACAATCTAGGCCTCATGTACAGCTCTTAGCACTGTTAATGACCTCTACCATATGTTGTGGTCTGAAGCTGGCTCCCTGCCAAGTCTCCAAACCTCACCACAAGAACTCCCCCCCCCAAAAAAAACCAAGGGAGAAGAGGAAAAAAAAAAAAAAAAGAGAACCGAAATGAGAGAGAGGCAGTTAAAGCAATATATCTAAATATATTTACACTTACATTACAGTTATATACAATTGAAATATATATACAATTTCAAAAGGAAAAGGGAAAGGGAAGGTGGAAGGGAAAAAAGGAACAAAACCAAAATAAAATATACACGATCAATAGCCCAAGATCTAGCAACTAAAAGAATTAGCAAAAGAATATCTTACTACTCTCCTTGGGACAACAGAAAGTCCCGTGGAACGATCGCCGGCAACCTCTGTCTCCCAAGGTTGGCAAGGCCTCACCAGGCCTCACTACCCAACACAAGACTCAACAGCAGGGAAACCCGCACCTCCAAAGCCGCCGGAAGGAAAGAGGGACGAAGGCCTTTCCTCCTTCATTCTTATACCCCGGCTTACATAAAAATCATAGGGAATACTGGGTAAATCTAGGCAGTTCCTTGGCTAAAAACTGGTCACCAAGGAAGGCCTAGACTGAACTACCACACCATATTTATTGGTTTTTTACTGTTACAGATCTCAAAAGCTCTGTTCAGCTGGCAATTTGGCTCTGGAAAAGTGACACACTAGGCCCTAAGTAGTTATTCTCACAGATGCAGGAGGTAAAGTTCCTTATCAGGATATGAAAAATTAATGGAGAACATGCAAATCACGAACTAGAGAAATATTCCAAAACAGAAGCATATATTGTATGCGAAAAAGGACAATCTCTTTTTTCAAAGTTAAATTTTATAATACCTGAATGAATCTCAGTTTGCTCAAAGCATCATTATTATTGGCAATCATAACTTTGTAGACATACATGGAAAAATGTCACACATATCATACATTATTTATTCCTGTGTAAAAACATGGAGGAATAAGAGGAAAGAGCTGCTTGGGTCAACTTTTCGGAGTCTTTTCAAATAGTATAAGAGGACAGACAGGAAAAATAATAAATAAATACAGACATTTTGAAGCAAATGGCCATCTCAGGGATGTTTATAGAATAAGGATAATGTAGGCCCTCAAGTGCAATGGTGTTGCAGATCCTAGCTGGAGAGAAAGCACGCTCTGAACACTCTGAATACAAGAGAAGAACAGCTCCAAGGGAAAAAAAGTATGTATGGTTTGAGTTTAAAACCATAGTTCATTTACATTAAGAGATCAATCAGTGGGAAAATCCATTCTGCAGTATTAACCCATCAGTGAAAAAGCTAATTGAACACAGAGCAAGCAAGAGCTTGGGTGGTCTCTTTCCTCTTTTATCTGCACAGCAAAGCTCACAGGAGCTCCAAGATCCGCCTCTGCAAACAAAGCGCCTTCAGACAGTGCAACCATCCAACTGAGCCCAAGGAAATTTATCTGCTTAGCATCTTTGAAACCGATTTCCCTGCTGCTGAGCAGGGCTCGACAGCTGTGGTTGACACCTCCCCAGCTGTTGGCTGCTGTGCAGGTCTGGTCACCTGGCCATGTGCGGCAGGAGCTGTGTGCCCATCCTGGAGCTGGAGCAGAGGTGGCTTTGTCCAACATGCGATGCTGTCAGCTCCTGAAATAAACACGCTTATGTAACATGCAAAATCATCTCATCTTTCCCTGATGTTCTTTTGGCAGAAATGCTCACAGGAAATATCCTGTTAGTGGAGATAAAAGGGTTGATTTACTCTGTTCCTGGTAATTCATAATTGCTTAATCACAAGCACATAACTAAACTACAGTGGGAAGGTTACAGCGACAATGGTTGCTGAGCAAAGATCAGTTCCCCTAGAGAGGCACTCTTTACATCATCTATATTTTTATTTTTTTTATAATGGGAACAAGAGGAAATGCACTAAAAAGCCTGAATGTTTGGTAAGAGCTATGGAAGCATGGAGCAAGGGTGTCTGGACACTCCAGAGAGGCATTAACAGAGGAATGGCAGGTAAGGTTTTAAATTATTCCCCTCACTAACTGAGCTTTTGGTGCAAACCACATCTCTAGAGAAGCACTTCTGGTGTGCTGAGGTGACCACCAAGCTCAGTGAACTCTAGAGAATATGACTACAAGGTGCTAAGCACCCTCTCAGACAATGCCAGCACAGGGGCTCGCTTGACCCTACCAGCTAAGGCTGCTCACCATCTGATGGTTGTTCATGTGGATGGCATGAGGCCCAGGGGACCAAGGGATCAACAGTGGCCAGAGCAACTGTAGCGGACCCACATCTGAACCAGCAGATTCAGTGGGAGTTACAGCTTCCCAATGCAGAGAGACCACTAGCTCCTATGGTGCCCAGTCTGTACCCTGCTGTAGGGAACAGCCTGAAAAGAGCAAACAGAAAGATGTTCCTCCCAGCGACAGGAGGCATTTTTGCAAACTGGTGAGTGCGTTGCACTCCTTTTCTTGAAACTTGCTCTTCAGTCATCTGGAAGTCAGAATCAAGGATAGATTTTAATTCCTTTGTCATATAAATTCGGTGTCACTACTGTATTAGGCACCCACCACAAAGGAACAGTAGTGTGCTGAGACTGACAGAGACTTGTGTGCCTGTCCACAACTCCAGGCTTCCCTAATAACTTTGTTAATGAATGAGATCCTGTTTGTACAGAGAGGAACACCATATTAGTTTTTATCATTGATGATGAAGAAAGTATGAGAAGTTAAAAGCAAAATAAAAACCTTCAGTGCACACGAGATGCTGTGTTCCTAACAGAGAGAAGACAGTCAGTTCCAGTTTGTGCGAGCCAGTCTGTAAGTGCAAGTAAGAGCATCACTTCGCAACTTGCAGAGCAAGAGAAGAAAAAACTCTGCTTCAGAAAATGGTGAGCTGGTAAGAAATACTCCAATAACAGGTTGTGGAGAATGTAACTTCAAAGTTTGGAAGTCAATGGAGTTTTGGAAGCAGTTGCTAAAATTTGTGTCCAAAAGTGATTTAACTTCCTCAGTAAGTGATGTGTACAAATGGCACACACCACTAAACCACATATGCACACAATCTATGAATTTCCACTTTCTTGACTTTGCATTCCAGCTTTAACATTTTTTTCCAGTGCAAAAAGAAATGAATCAAGCTTGCAATAGGATGTGTGTATGAATGCCAAAGAAAAAATTAAAATCAGCTGCTATTTGAAAATGACTGAGCCTGGAGTACTTTCTCTGGATACTTAATGCCCTGTAAATCCTGTACAACACTGTGGGTAACCAGTTTAAGGAATAGGTCTTTAAACAAAAGCTATTCTGTGTTTGTTTGGCTTTTTTGGTGGTATGACCTTTTATAGTGACTGAGATGGTTATAAAATCATCAGGATCCATGGGGCAAACTGTTCTTCTGTGAATTGATTACTTATAGTGTGGTAATTAATCCATTTTAAAAGCATTTTCTTTGGTCCTGCCACAGAAGAAACGTGGCTGGCAAAAGAGGAAATGGCGGGACATACCGGAGGAATGCATTGCCTAATATTTTTCTTCGTCCCAACTTACCCTGCTGAGAAAGTGAAAATTACTGGGACCATATGGAAGCAGAATGGCAACAACCTGCAGTATTTGAAAAGTTTCTGCAGCAAAGCAGAATTCCTCTCTCTCAGTCTGAAAGTATAATCAAAGTATCTCACTCAAAGTTTTTAGGAGAGATCTTCCTTTTGAGGGCTTGCCGGCAGGAACAAATTTATCAAAATAAATCTTCACTTTATGAATGTTGGTAGCTGTCATCTCTAAAAATGTTTAGATACAGTAAAGAAAGAGAATGAGACAGAAAATTTTTGCATCTTGTTTAATACCCTAAAATTATCGCCATCACTCTGCTGAATAAGGCAGGACACTTGGAAGAAAAACTGGCAGTAATTTTTCTCTTGATACTATTTAGAGTAAATTCAGCTGTACCTGTAAAAGGAGATAAATTATAGTGAAGGATGTAGAAAATTCTCTGTAACCTTCCCCCCCCCTTTTTTTTCCTTCTGAATAATGTCCTATCTACCTCTAATACATTGGAAGGTGCATGTGTCCTATCGCTACAAAACATGTAGAGGCCAGGAAGGTAAGTGCATGTCACCTCCTTCATTGCAAGAATAGCAGAGCCCTCTGCAGTGTTTCATGTCCATGACCACATCCTTAATCATTCCTTTAAATGGGAAGCGTAGTGCTAATTAGGCCCTTCCAATGAGGCCCTGGACCTAGAGAGTCGAGTCGATGACACTCAAGAAAAGATCCGTCTGGAGGGTCTCCCGGTTGCACCCTGTCTATTAGATAGACCACAGCTGCAGCTATTAAGAAAAAAAGAAGGGTAGTTGTAGTCAGTGGTTCCATTCTGAGGGGAACTGAGGACCCTATATACTGACCAGTCCCATCCCACAGGGAAGTCTGCTGCCTTCCTGGGGCTAGGGTCAGGAATATTAGCAGGAGACTTCCTGAGCTAATTCGGCCCTCAGATTATTATCCACTGTTGTTAGTACGGTTTGGCAGTGATGAGATCAATAAAAGAGGTACCAGGGCAATTAAAAAGGATTTTAAGGCTTTAAGTTGATTAGTTGATGGGACAGGAGCAGAGGTGGTGTTCGCCTCAATTCCTGCAGTAGCAAGGATGAATGAGGAGTAGGAAATCCTATTTTATCAATAGGTGGCTAAAGGATTGGTGCCACCAGTGAAATTTGGGTTTTTTAGATCATGGGGCAAAATTTATGGTACCTAGCCTGCTAGAGTCAGTTGGGCTTTATCTATCTAGCAAGGACAAAATGACTCTAGCCCATAAGTTGTAGGGCTGCTCAGGAGTGCTTTAGACTAGGTTTGAAGGGGGAAGAGGTTGAAACCAGCCTCTCCAGAGAAGAGCCTAAAGGTGGAAAGCCAGGGTTAGGAGTGGTATCAGCAGCCCAGCTGAAGTGCATGTACACCAATGCACACAGTATGGGTAACAAACAAGAGGAACTGGAAGCCATTGTGCAGCAGGAAAGCTATGACATAATCACCATCATGGAAACGAGGTGGGATGACTCGCATGACTGGAGTGCTGCCATGGATGGCTACAAGCTCTTCAGAAGAGACAGGCAAGATAGGAGAGGTGGAGGGGTGGCTCTATATGTTAGAGAGTCTCTTCATTCTCTAGAACTTGGAGTCAGTAACAATAAGGTTGAGTGCCTGTGGATCAGACTCAGGGGGAAGGCCAACAAGGCTGACATCCTGGTGGGAGTCTGCTACAGACCACCCAACCAGGATGATGATGGTGATTCAACAAGCAGCTGATGGAGGCTTCAAAATCACCAGCCCTTGTCCTTGTGGGTGACTTCAACCTGCCAGATGTCTGCTGGGAACTCCACACAGCGGAGAAGAGGCAATCTAGGAGATTCTTTGAGTGTATGGAGGATAATTTCTTGTTGCAGCTGATAAATGAACCTACCAGGGCTGGGGCCAAAATAGATCTGCTATTTACAAACAGAGAGGTGCTGGTGGCAGATGTGGTGGTCAGAGGCTGTCTGGGGCACAGTGACCACGAAATGATAGTTTTCAATGTTCAGTGAAGTAAGGAAGGGCATCAACAAAACCTCTACCCTGGATTTCCGGAGGGCAGACTTTGGCCTATTCAGGAGGCTGGTTCAGAGAGTACCTTGGGAAATAGCCCTTAAAAACAAAGGCATCCAGGAAGGATGGACATGCTTCAAGAAAGAAATCTTGAAGGCACAGGAGCAGGCTGTCCCAGTGTGCCAAAAGGCAAGCTAGTGGGGAAGATGACTGGCCTGGCTAAACAGGGAGATTTTGCAGGAAATTAGGGAAAAAAAGAGAGTCTATTGCCTTTGGAATAAAAGGGCAGGCAACTCATGGAGCGTTTAGGAATGTAATTAGGTCATGTAGAAAGAACATTAGAGGGGCAAAAGCTCAAACTGAACTTAATCTGGCCACTTCTGTTAAGGACAACACTAAGTGTTTTTATATAGACATCAATAGCAAAAGGAGGGGCAAGGAAAACCTCCATTCTTTGTTGGACACGGAGGGGAACACAGTTACCAAAGACAAGGATAAGGCTGAGGTACTTAACACCTTCTTTACCTTAGTTTTCAGCAAGAAGACAGGTTGTCCTCAGAACTGGCCTCTGGAGCTGGTAGGCAGCAACAGGGAGCTGAATAGTCCCTGTATTATCCATGAGGAAACAGTTAGTGACCTGCTGAGCCACTTGGATCCCCATAAGTCTATGGGACCAGACGAGATCTGCCCTAGGGTGATGAGGGAACTGGTGGAAGAGCTTGCCAAGCCAGTCTCTTTCATTTATCAGAAGTCCTGGCTCACCAGGGAGTCCCAAATGATTGGAAGCTGGCAAGGTTATGGAACAGATTATCCTTAGTGCAATGACACAGCACCTACAGGATGGATGGGAGATCAGACACAGCCAACACGGATTTAGGAGGGGCAGGTCCTGTCTGACCAACCTGATCTCCTTTTATGATCAAGTGATCCACCTGGTGGATGAGGGGAAGGCTGTGGATGTGGTCTACCTGGACTTCAGCAAAGCCTTTGACACCACCTCCCACAGCATTCTCCTGGAAAAGCTGTCAGCCCACGGCTTGGACAGGGGCACTCTGTGCTGGGTTAGGAACTGGCTGGAGGGCCGGGCCCAGAGAGTGGTGGTGAACGGTGCTGCATCCAGTTGGCAGCCGGTCACTAGTGGTGTCCCCCAGGGATCAGTGTTGGGCCCAGTTCTCTTTAATATCTTTATTGATGATTTAGATGAGGGGATTGAGTGTACCATTAGCAAATTTGCAGATGACACCAAGCTGGGGGACATGTTGATCTACTGGAGGGTAGGAGAGCTCTTCAGAGGGACCTGGACAGTCTGGATAAATGGGCTGAATCCCATGCTATGATGTTTAACAAGGCCAAGTGAACGGTCCTGCACTTTGACCACAACAACCCCCTGCAGTGCTACAGGTTGGGCACAGAGTGGCTGGAGAGCAACCAGGCAGAAAGGAACCTGGGAGTTTGGATTGACAGGAAGCTGAACATGAGCCAGGAGTGTGCCCAGGTGGCCAAGAAGGCCAATGGATTCTGGCCTATGTCAGGAAGAGTGTGGCCAGCAGGATCAGGGAAGTGATTCTACCCTGTACTTGGCACTAGGTAGGTTGCTCCTTGAGTACTGTGTCCGGTTCTGGGCCCCTCAGTTTAGGGAGGATATTGAGGTGCTGAACTGGAGACCAATGAAGGGCAACAAGGCTGGTGAAGGGACTGAAGCACAAGTCCTATGAGGAGTGACCGATGGAGCTGGGGTTGTTCAGCCTGGAGAAGAGGCTGAGGGGAGATCTTATTGCTCTCTACAACTACCTGAGGGGAGGTTGGAGCAAGGGGAAGGTCGGTCTCTTCTCCCAGGCAACCAGCAGTAGGACAAGAGGGCATGATCTTAAGCTGTGCCAAGAAGGAAGGTTTAGGTTAGACATTAGAAAGGAATTCTTTACAGAGAGAGTGATCAGACATTGGAATGGGCTGCCCAGGGAGGTGATGGAGTCACTGTCCCTGAAGGTGTTTAAGAAGAGACTGGATGTGGCACTTGGTGCTGTGGTCTAGTAGGCAAGGTTGTGTTAGGTCAAAGGTTGGACTTGATGATCTCAGAAGTCTTTTCCAATCTGGTTGATTCTGTGATTCTCTGATTCTGTAATGGAAGATGCAGGCTGGTAGCTCTTATTTTGCATCAGGATTTAATAGTATTAATTTGCTTCAGGACTCATCCCAGCAGTAAGGTGCAGAAAGAAGCATGTGCTAGAGTCAGTGTCTACCTAGCCTCTGCCTGTTGCAGTGCAGGAGAGTGCATCAGTGTCCAGCAAGAAGTGCCACAGTAGGAAGAGGGAGGAAAAGGACACATTTTTTCAAGCAGAGTAGCATGTATGCATTTATTTCCATTCCTAGTTCCCTCACATTAACATTTTTGCAGTCTGCTACTACATACTGTAACATAGATTACAGTTAGCAAAGAACAAACATGTTAGAGGTTTGGAGACCAATAAGTAGCACACCACTGCAAACAGGAATGCTGTTATGCAGACACCTAAACCATATGATGCTGGGCATGGACAAGCAACATACCGGGCATCTTTCTGATGATAACCCATGGAGTTATCATCAACCATTTTGAGGTAATAAAACCTCAGGATTAAAATGCAACAGTGGTGCAGTCAGTTGCAATCACTTGACACAGCTAGAGGTTTGCTCCTAGGGGAATGGGAACAGGACCTGAAGTACTGGGGCCTACTGTAATACCTTATAGTGGATATCAGTGATGCAAATGCGATTAATACTTCTACTTAGTCTATAATGGCTCTGCTCCCCTAATGCAGTAGAGTAGCTAGAAAGGCAGTGGTGCATAAACAATTTCCAAGTGGCTGTCCTATTAAGGTTATGCAAGACCTAGAGCAGTCCTCTGCAATGTGATGTCAGCTCTGGCTTCTGGCCTGACACACATTTACACAACAGGACAAAGCAAGGGAGAAAATGGAGATGCTCTGGAGTTACCAATTTTTTGAAATACAGTTTAAGCATATAGCTTCTGTTGCTGTCACTGAGAAAAAGTCAAACAGGTAAACTGCAGTGAGGGGAGTTATGATCTATCTAGGATATGATTTTTTTTTCCTTCTCTATATATTAATCTTTATTCTTATTTTCATGTGTCTGTCCTGATTTTCCCTCTCTGAAAGTCTTGGCAGGGGAGCAAAAGAAGCTCAGAAGTATATAACTTACAACTAAGTAATACTCTACCGAAGGCAGGAAATCTCTCTTTTTTTAATTTTTTCATTTTTTTTCTTACTTTGTACATGAGTTGCTAGCCTTGAAGCCCTACTGATATTTAGCATTCCTTTCACACTAGTTAATTTGTGCTGAAGCACGTGGTGGGGATTTGGGGTCAGTATTGGTGGAAATCACAAGCAGGGAAGGAAAATGTCACTGTCGTGTTGCACAACCCAGGAAAAGGGAACAAAGGAATCAACACAAACCTTTTTCCTTCTTGCTCACATACATCCACTGCACTATAGCAATGAGAGATGAACAGATGTGGAAATGCGTCTGAGCTGAAGGAGAACCTCAGGTGCCTTACCACCTAGGTTGTGCTGCTCTCTCTCTTCCTAGTGCTGTTTGGAGAAGTCAGGGCTCTCAGCCGAGAGAAATGGTCATCTTACCTGCTTGAGCCAATCTTTTTGAAGGCTTTTTTGTCCTCTTAGTTTAAAACCATATAGGTAGCCCTGGCTGAGGAGGAAATTGCCTGGACTAAATGGGGATTATGTGCTTCTTAGAGCACAGACAAAGCGCAGTAGAAGAATGTCCTGAGGCTACTCAGGGGCCAAAGGTGTGTGGAGGAACTATGGATTCTTTTTACTGGTGCTGGTGAGCCATGTCTACATCGGATGGGCATGCCATTGAAGTGGGCCTTACCAGCTGGTCTCCACACCATAGCTGGGCAGAGGTGTGGGCTGGTAGCATAACCAGGCAGAAGAACCAGGGTCCAGAACCCACAACCTGAGCATGGGGAAAAACAGAGAAGAGGAGTAGCAAGCACCAGTCTCTGTGTTCCATCTCTTGGACTCACTGCCCAAAAGGAAGGTCTCTGCCCAGTCAGGGTCTCTAGGAACATCTTGATAGCCAAGAGCCTTATGGAGCCCAGGGCTACCCTGTTCTTCCCCAAAACACTTGAAGACTTCTATTTAGTTCCCTTATTTTTCCATCAGGCTGTCTAAAGAGCTTGACTGTTCACTCAGTCATTCGATCAGGAGACTACATATGGTTGACATGGTGAATTCCCATCTATTCATATGTGTAGTTATCCTTTTCACTTATTCCCAGATTAGGCCTTGTCAGAATAAAGATGTGAAATTTATCAGACAAAAACAGTGTTGGTAATGAAGCTTTGAACTGTAAGAAATTATAAAGTTCAGTCTGAATTAAACCTTTTATCTGCAATTATCTACAATAGTTTTATGTCTCCTCTTATCTCTGATACATGCCAGCTTGCATTAATTTGTTTTAGTGGTATCTTGGAAAAAGACACTAGAGAAAAACCACTCAACCAAAGATTTCTATGTAGATGAAGAAAGTCATACTTGAAGCACAAAACTACCTATTCTATATTAAACAGGAGAGAGCAAAACCTGGGATTTGAAACACCCTGGAGTTTTGTGGAATGTTTAATCCTGACCTGACCTGAGCAGCTCAAGCCTTTGTGGCTCATTCTATGTTGGTTTTTTTTATGACGAAAAAAATACACTGTAAATGCAGGCCTGTACGGTCAGGATCCCTGGAAATATATGCATTAAAACAGAATAAATCAATTCAGAAAACTGGCTGTCTTCCTTTTGCTCCATGTCACTTCCTCAACATCTCCCTTAACTGTCCTTGGTAACAGATTTTTTCTGCAGGGCATGTATTTTACACTTTGACAACTTGGTACAAATATTTGATTGTCAGAATTGGGACACAATTATGCTTGAAATCCAACTACCTATTCTGAATTGCATGTGTCTGAACCTGTGCATGTCTATGAAAAACATTAAGCTTTTCTGCTACTCCTCTAGTCCTTGTAATTCAGTTGGAACCATTATGCAGGCGAAACAAACTTTCTCAGAGAAAAACAGCTTGCATTCTCCTGGTTTATAAAAAGAACTGTATTTCTCTGAAGCAATACAAATTCCTTGCATTTCATAAAAAATTCATTCCATATGAGTGTTATTGTTACCTCGCAATGAAGTGTGTGTGCATGTGGCTTTCAAAGAAGCCCTTCACAAAATCTGCATCAGAGATACAACTGGTGGACTTCAGTCTGAATGTTGTTATTGTTCTCGCCTCCATCACACTTGCTTTTCCAGTCATTCCAGTCATTAGTGCTTAATGAAAGAAGTGACTTTGTTGCCAGCTCTTAAGTCACTATGGGACAAAATGCAGGCAAGGGAGTAGATTTCCACAGGTCAAGGTCCATAGCAGAGGACAACTTTTTATTCAGGTTACTGGCTTTAGTCTACCTTGACATAAAGTATCCTTGCTGTGCTTGAAAAGATCAGGAATCAAGCCATCTGATGCTAAACTGAACCGTCATGTCCTCATCCCCATTTGAACCCCATTTCTTCAAACTACAGGAGCAGAAGCCTCTGATCACATTCCTGCCCTGTGACAGGCTAAGCCACACCCAAGTCTGTCACTCTTGACACTAGTTTGTCTAACATGTTCTTTAACACCTTCAAATATGTCTAGAATAGCTTGCTCACCTCAGCAAGCTGTTCCAGCTTTTGTCTGTCCTTACACTCTCCGCTTTCTAACCTATATCGCTTTCAGGTAATCTAAGATCCTCAGTTTTTGGGAAATGAGATGAGTTCTACTGACATCAATGAAGTTTCACCATTAAACATGCTTTGAAGATATGACCTAGTACTGCCAAAACTCAGTCCTTTCACTTCCCTCTTAATTTTTCTCTGTTCCTACTCTTCATCTCTTGATAGATTCCCAATGTTGCTTCCCCTCACTTTAACATCTAAGCAGTGTGAAAGTGCTGGTGCTCACTCCTACATACCGTCATCAACATTCAGCTCTCTTCTTCTGTTCATATTTCTGAAACTTTCAGATCTTCATCTTCACACACGCCCACTACAGCATTCTGTTGGGAATCTAAAAAACACATCAGAAATGCAAAGAACTTCCTGAGATCTTCCAACCTTGTATTTCTGAGCAAATAAAACCTTCTCTTTGTAAACCTCACCTGGCTTCTCAAGTTTGAATTTTCAGGAATTACCTTTAATACCACTCATAGAGCAAAAGCCCTACCAGTTCCTCTGTTGTTACAACCTACCTCAGTTGTGACATCGATCTTCACTGTCCATTTGACCTGTTAACCAAAAGAAACTTTCATGTGTTCTTCACTTTGTCCTTTTTAAATGCACAGTTTTTCAGTGGTGTCCATGCTCTTCTGGAAAGAGGAAGTCTGGTCTTCTGTGTGATTTCAATCCTTTCCTAAAAGCCCACTCTGACTGCAAATGTCTAATTATAAGATATGAGGTACTGTTATGTTTTCTAATAAACTTGTTTGACAAGTTTGAATACAATTAAACCATAAATCAATTAAACCAAATGCCCAGGTGCAAGTGTGTTAACTTTTGTAAGAATGACTTCCCTATCACTAATGTTTTAATCTTCCCCTTGCTTCTTCTAATTCCTCATTTATTAGGTATTGTCTTGAATAAGCAGAATGCACCACAAATGTAATATCATTCACTCTCTATTTGCATATATGCTTACACCTCTACATTATTTCCCACTTCTACCTAGATCGCTAGTTGTTAAAGAAGCCCTGCATTGCCTAAGAGTTTAGCTAAAGCCCCCACAGCTCAGCTTGCATCTGGCATTGACATCTTTGGTATGTTCCTGCTATGTTCTCCTAGATTCAGCAGTGCCGAGTATGGCAAAGGTCTTGCAGTCATGGTTCAAATTCTGTGCAGCAGCAGTGGTGCACAGTCCGACCATGCTGGTGCCAGAAAGGCACTGTCCTTGGGCAAAAGGCTGCCTTAGTATTTTGACTAGCTGGTAAGATACAGATGTGATGAGGTACTCTTCCTTAGGTCTGATGTCAGGATGTCTCACCACTGTAGGGTCTTGCCCCCTGACAAGGGGAGTTCTGAGCCATAGACTCTGCTTTTGGTAGCAGTTCTTGCAAGCCTAAGTTTTCCTGTCTTAGAGGCCTACTATGAAGAATGTTTATTTTGTTGCTATTTGGCTGATTTTTGTTTTGGACTTGGATTAAATAAAAACACGTTAACATTCAGCACCTACACAGAACTGCTTATAGACAGCAGTTTGCAAATGATTTAAAGACAGAGAAATCAGAAGCTTGTCTGAAAATCTAGTTGGTCATAATCCACGTGGTCTCCAGGTCTTTTTAGGTTTTGTTGTTGCTGGTTTTACTGTTTATTTTTGTCCTAGCAGTAACTCTACATAGTCTTGCTTTGTCCATTAGGCTCTGTGTCTGTTTTTATACACACCTACTGTGAATCTACTGTAACCTGTACATCTGCAGGCCTTCACTTGCTTATCTGCTTCAACATTGCCTGTGCCTTCCTCAGATACAATTAATCACTTCATCAAAAGAAACCTAATACTGATACCCTCCAAATGCTTAGGCAAGTACCTTAACATAGAGAAAATATTAAACTTGTTGAGAAGGGGTCCACAGTGATGAGGATGCTTCAGGTGAGCATATTTGCCTTCTGAGACTGCTGGAATGGCAAGATATTACAGAGTAGGCCAATTCTGCCAAATGCCATGTAGGAATAGCAGATGTACTCAGTTACTTTCATCAAAGATGCAACCAACCTCACATTCCTTCTTCTGTCTATCTAGAAAAGCATCTCTGCAGGGCAGCCACAAGCAGTTAAACATCAACACAAGCTAGACTTGTCTAGTTCTTTCAGCTGTAAAAGGGAAGAAATGCTGAGAAGACTACTGAAAAACTAATGAGAACACTTTTTCTTTGGGTCATGAGCAGGGATCTGGAATCAAAGCCATCTATTTTGTTTTCCACCTGCAGAATCACTGGATATCTAAATGAGAACAATATGTCCTGGCAGTTTGGCCCAGGTGAAGGCATGGCTTGAGGCAGAGCCTGGCACTGTGCCCCTGCCAAGTAGCCTCATGCACCAGTGATCTCTGAGATCTGCTCCTTACAGGGTGATGAAGACACAAAAATCTCCTCCCCCACGCACTCTCAACTTTTCTCAAGAGCAAGCCAGATCCACCTAATCAAGTAGACTGTCTTCCAGGAACACCCTGGTTTACCCTGAAAACAGAGGAAACTAGAACTACCACAAACACATTGTTATTTGTAGCATTGCTGACAAAACAAAAATACAAAAGCAAAAGCAAAACAAAATGTAAGTGTTTTCACAGAATCAGAATATCCCAAGTTGGAAGAGACCCAGAAGGATCGCAGAATCCAAATCCTGGCCCTGCACAGGAGAACTCCAAAAAATCACACCATGTGTCTGAGCATGTCATTCAACGCTGATGATTTTCTCATAATGATAGGAGAGAAAATACTCTGCAAGCAAACTGTGTTTTCCTCACTTTTGGCAGAAGTGTGTTGTTACAAGCAAAAATACAGAGAAGAATGCTTTCACCTGCTGGCATTAACTTTAAGAAGCTGTTGTGGTTTAAGCCCAGAAGGAAATTAAGCACCACGCAGCCACTCGCTCAACCCCCCACTCTCTTTCCCCCACCCTGTGGAATGGGGACGAGAATCGAGGTAAAACTTGTATGTTGAGATAAGAACAGTTTAATAATTGAAAATAAAGTACAATACAATAATAATGGATAATAATAATAGTAATAAAGAGTAAACAAACAAATGATGCACGATGCAATTGCCCATCACCTGCTGACTGATGACAGGCCCCCCTTTGGAATCCCAGATCAGTTGTGCTTCCGGGTAGCTCCTTGCCCTTTATATACTGGGCATGACAGTCTATGGTGTGGAATATCCCTTTGGTCGGTTTGAATCACTAGTCCCAGCTATGCTCCCTCCCACTGACAGAGCGTTAGACAAGGGAAAAAACCAGTCCTTAGGATAAACTCAACTTAACCAAAAAACCAAATCATCAGTGTGTTACCAATGCTATTCTGACTCCAAATCCAAAACATAGTACTATAGCAGCTACTGAGAGGAATTAGCTTCCCCAGCTGAAGCCAGGACAGAAGCTCTGGCAAAAAAAAAAAAAAAATAAAATTAAAAATTAAAGCTCTTTGTGTCTTTTTCCTGTTATTCAAATAATAATACTGGACATGTTAGCACAGGCAGCCAAAGCATTATGAAGGATTCTTATGTGCAGTTAGATGGATTTGATTGATTTTGGTTGGTGTGTAGGCCTGCAAGTCCCTTGCTGACAGGAAGACAGGAATCAAAGAAATTTGATCCTATATTTAAACAGTCACATGCGAAAGAACCAGGGTAAACTTGATTATTTCGAACATGCTTTTGGGTTTGGTAGGAAGGCTTTGTTTATGATGATCAGAGAAATTGTAGCAACCCCTTGAAGTTCTTCTCTGAGCTCTTTTCTCAATATTCTCCATCCCCTGCTCTTCAATTTTACAGGTAATTTCCACATGCTTTTAAAGAAGCAATTACACTATTGCTTAGAAAAGCCAAACTGTCAGAAGTGAACAGGAAGCTATACAATACCACCTCTTTATTCCAGTGGAATATATATTTATGCTGCTTCAAATTTCTTACTTCTAATTTTCCATTTTTGTAGTGTTACAAAGCTTTGGAACTGCAGTGTAGCTTCTGAGGCCTACGTGCTGCAGAAAGATTTTGCAGTAAAACAAATTTGCTCAGAAGTACTTTCATTTTCCTCTAAAATCAGTAAGAGTGCGCACCAAAACGAGACCAGTTCAGCAATGTGCTCTTTCACCGTGCTGTCACACAGAGCATTGACTTTATCACTTATCACATGCCAAATACCTTTCTTTGTTTTTAGGTGAAGAACAGACTTTATGGTTATCATCTGTGAAATCAGAGTTCCAGATCCTTTGTGGTATGATAAAATGGACTAAATCCTCATTGTGAGCTCTACTGATTGCTTTGGCACACAGTGAGACTTAGAGTGCTTGATTTAGACCTTCTTCATAGTGGTATTGTAAATGCTTCAAGAAAATGTGGTTTTTTCATGACTTCTGCACTTGCGTTAATCTCATTTTTAAGAACCAGCAACATGGCTTAAAATACTAAGATATTGAGTAATAAAAGTACAAAGTCATTTGAAGGTTAGGTCAAAGGTCCTCAAAAAGATCACATTGGCAAACAGAATGTCAAGCAGACATCACAGTGGAGGACAAAACAGGCAAATCAGAATCACCAGCTTTGTCTTCTTAAAGCTTTTCATCCCAGGATATGCAAATGCATCTGCATTAGGATATTGGAGCACTGAGTACTGCCTACAGATATAAGCTTATACACTTTGAAATGCATTGAAGAACAAGGACCAGTGTGAGGTAATAAACAGTTTTTAATTGATGTACAGATCTTAGAGCTGAAACAGGGGACACTCTCATTGTCACTTTTCTTGTCTATCCATCTCTTTTTTTAACTCACACTTTCCATGAAAATTAATCTTGCTGAGACTTAAGCACTGACAGAAATAAGCTCTATTTCATGGAAGGCAGAAGTTGTTCTATTATGCCAGCTCTAGTTCTGACTCATGATATATTTTTTTTTCAGGAAATGACAATGAATGTAAAGACTCACTTGCCCTTTTGCAGGGCTGACCACTGACTGTGTCTTTGTCCTTTTTCTGAGAGGAGAAATACAAAACTTTGGACCTTCACTGCTTTTGACCTTCACTGCTTTTGACTTTTTCAATGCATCAGTAGAAGGAGAGGCAGTTTAATATCATAAAGAACCTGAAAGTAACAGCTGGGACCTCCAGTGATAGCCTTCTGAGTGGGCACACGAGGAAGAGAAGGAAGAAGCAGTTGAGTTACCTCCTAATATCTCTATGGTAGTTTGAGAACAATGAAAGAAGAAATCTTGCCAAACTAAATGCAAAGTTGTGAGGACTGCACGAAGATGATGAGACTGGAGAGAGGACTGGGAGAGGAAAAGGTCCCTTGCTGTGTTAAACGAGTTTTGATGCTATAGATCTGTGGCTTGCTTGAAGTACAGCCTTTCTGTATACTTCTGCCAAACAGTGTTGATCAAGAGCTTGAATGGGAGAAATTATTGCTAGTCTAGACAACCAACACTCCCACTGCTAGATATTTTGATGTGCTTAGACTGTGGCTTCTCATATTTGAAGAACTGTTGCCTTCACTCTTCGAGACAAACAATGTTACTGCAGAGGTGGGAGTGGGACTCTCTGGTCTAGTGCATGAAAGGAGGAGGATGTTACTCATTGCTACTATGAAGCAGAGACATTTTTTGGAAAAGAGTGGTAGAGTCTCAAACCTACTCCATTCCTCTGAGTCTTAGAGCAAGAAGTAATCCAAGGATGATAGAATAGCAGAATAATTTCTGTCCTTTGTTGCAATCACAGAATGCTTTGAAAAGATGTAAAATACAATTCAAATCTGGATGAATTTCCCTTATTTTGCCCTCAGAACTCAAATGCTTATACTATATAGACAATACGCCTATCAAGCATTGATTTCCCTCCTCCCTGCTGTCTTTCTCCACTACATTTCGTATTTGTTTGTAAGAACAGACTGTTCTTCTGAGATGTCTCTGAACCTGGCAATGCCTCAGAAATATGCTGCTCAGTTATTCAAGTGACAGTTACGAACACTAGAGCTGGCTGGATACATTACACACCCAGTTTATCCAAGATGTAATTCAAGACAGGCCATTTATTCAGTTCAACTACATGTAAAGCAGACCAACTCTGTACAGCAATGCACAGCATCAGGAAGAAGGCTGGTTTTTTATGGTATTCATTCATGTTTGCACATGTCTTCTCCACTTGTAGGGAAGTAAAATATGTTGGGGATTTCTGGGCCAGATGCTTCAAGTTGCTTCAACTTTCTTTCTGCTAGATAAACACAATAAATCACAAGCTTATTTGAAGGTAGAGTAAGTCAATTTCTCTGATAAGCACAGTAGCCTCTGCAAAGTTATATCCTTTTAGTCTGCTCTTGTTTGCCCATTGCAAAACTGAATCATGTGACATTCAGTGAAAGAGCAGGAGAGGATTAGGAGGGAATAGTACAGCATTTCAATATTTCTTACATTGCCCATAGATCTGGGAAAAAAAAAGATGTTGAGCTATGTGCTCAGCTACTCAAAGACAACTTGTCCTTGTAAGCTCTGCTCTTTTGCCTTGATCTCACCTCATTTCTGTACTTATCAATCCGTTTTACTGTGCATCAGCACAGTGGTCTGCAGGGCAGGAACCACTGTCTGTAAACCTTTGAGAGCTACTGATCTTAGCATCATAGAATCATTAAAGTTGGATAAATTATAGCAACCTCCATCACACAAAAACAAGCAAGGAAAGAGACTTGAGTCCACCATCCAGGGAAGGATGAGGCCTCAAGGCAAGGTCCTTCTGTGTCTCCAGACAGCAGAAATGGTCAGATTAGTGGTAGAGTGATCAGGTAAATCTGAGGGTGCACTCAGACTAGAGCAGGCAGGAGAGACCCAAGCATGACAGGGAGGCCTTATGGCCCCTTTGCAAAGAGGCAGAAACAGATCCTGTTCATGTTGCCTGCCTGGGTACAGGGACTTACAGACACAGGGTCTCAGGACTGCCAAGTACAACTCTCAGGAGTTCAGGGCTGTCACATCTCTCCAATTTTTTTGCCAGATGCTAGCGATCCTACCCAACTGAAGAACTTGGGTTGACAATTAATGAGAATTAAGCCATGCAGAAGGCATAAAACCCCACATTAGAAGGCTAGTTCATGACACTGTTCATTAAGCAATTACTTGACACTAAAAAAAGACAGCCCAATGTGGCATTTCCATTACCCAGTTTTATTACACTGAAGGATTTTATAGACCATGTACTTCCCTGCTGGGAACTGTAACTTCTGAACAGCTTCTTCACCCTCCAAGGATGTTAACACTCTCTCAGGTTTCTGAAAATGAGTCTCACATTCAGAGCACCTCCAGAAAGCCTTTGACTAATGCACCTACACAGGAAAAGAGAGGGCTTTGCATAGGAGAGGTAAAGTTATCCTGAGCCCTCACATGATATTGGAGGAATAAAACATCCCACAACTTCGCTTTAGCACAGTGTTCTTTGATATGCCGACACATTAATTTCCATGCTCTCACCATGATACCTTGGATGCTTTTCCAGAGGCAGTGTGAGAGCCAACAACTCATGCTCACCATCATCGCCCACTGAAAAGGAAAGAGTGAAGAAAAAGGTACTGTGAGGTTCCAGCTACTTGTGAGCAAAATGGAGATTTACTGCTCCTCTGAGGGCAAGGAACATGCATCAACAGTAACACTGGACAAGAACGAAGTGTGTGAAACCGTTCAAATCCTTGTATATGTACATCTACATAAGTATGCCACAAAATATGAGCTACAGGTAAAAATACTTAAAAATGGAGGAACAAACTATAAGGAAGGAGAACAGGGAAAGAAAAAATTTGAAAAGGGCAAAAAAAGCTACATTTTTGCTATTTGAACACTATTTGCCGCTTTGTAGGAGGAAGGAGGATAAGAAGGCAAGTACTATATTATTCAATAACAGCTTCAAGTGTGAATCAGATTAAAAGAGTGAGTCATTCCCATCCTCATGGTCAATTACCAAAGTCTGCTGAGGAATTGCTACTATAAGTTTCATCACTGCTATTTCATGATTTGTAGTCCTGAGGGTGGCATAAGTTATGAGAAGTCAGACCTCGGCCCATCACGTGAGTTGGAAAGCGACTTCCTGCCCTCACCCAGCCAGGGGGCCGGGTGATGACAGTGGCACTGCAGGGGAAATACTGACCCTGTTGCAAAACCCCAGCACTGCAAAGAAGTATCAGCACTACTGTCCATGCTGGTTTTTTGGAAGAGGGGAATGGAGCACAGTCCTAACTGGGTTTTGAACCTTTCTCTTCCTGGATTTGGATGCTATGTTTTTCAGAGCAAGAGGAAGGGAGGCATGGGCATGAACCAGGATTTGTCTTCTTATCTTTGTTGTCTTCCATCAGTAAATACAGGGGCTTTTTAAGGCTAGTTTCTCAATAGGAACAGGAATTAAGACATAAATCCCAGAATATTTCCCTGTGGTCACTTAGGTATTTACAGCGGTCTTGGCTCCTTGAAAGAGCACAGAGGCAATTTCATATCTCAGGAAAAAACTTGGCTATGACTTCACTGCATCTCTCATGAAGTAAAGTCTCTTCAAGAGCAGCTGCTTTAGCACACTTCCCCTTCCTTCCCTGCACTCTGCTAGCTCGCAGGCCAGCAGCTAAACATGGTGGCTCAGCTCCTGTTTCTGCAGCTGTCCTGGACTAGAAAAATCAAGGAAAGACTGGATAGCACAGACAATGCAAAGGTAGTGTGTGAATGTACACAATATCTTCATCAGCTAGGAAGTCTGTTTGCCCTTTGGCAACTGTAACTGTAACTCCTTGAATAGAGAGTTTCATCAGGGGTGCTTTTGCATTGAGGACCTTTGAAGTGAAAGACAGTAACACTTTTGACCCAGACATTGCAACACAATCTCCCTTAAATAGCCACAAGCCCTTATCATTCTCATCCCTCTATTTTATTCTGATGAGGCATTACCCCTGAACCACTTTTGCAAACTTGGGCAGGGAGGGGATCTGTTAATTAGCCAGATATTGCATTTTTAGTGGAAGTCTGCTTCAGAAGTCATGTTTTTCTAAAGCTAACCTGTTGAGTGATTCACAAGATCCATATTAATACATGGCACAGTACAGCTCCATTGGTTAGCATCCTAAATCTGCCAGATGACTCATTAAAAAGATAAGCAGCAGGAGAAAATTCACTTCCAAAGATAGCGTTGTGACAGCAGCATCCATTAGTCTGAAGTTCGCAGGAAAAAGCTACCATGCATTGGCATTTTTGAGTACTCTGCACTTTTCAACCAGGATGTAGAGGAAGATCAAATTTAGAAAAGAAGGGCTTTAAATAGAAGCTCAGTTCAAAAATAAAGTGTACTCTTAGGAGTTATGTTCCTATAATAAATTTAGAAACAAGAGTGCAATAAAAAATTTACAAGCATTCTCAGGTGACAGGCAGTATAGTCAGGTGGACATCCCTGAACATGACATGCTGTTTCAAATACAGATTTCCAAGAAAAGCAGGGCTTGGACCATGTCTTCTTTTTCTGTTTATTGCACAGTGCTAAGAACATCAGAGATGTGTGAAAAGCTATAAATCTTCACATGTAGGCAATCTGTCTCAAATGGCCTGACAACTCATGCCAATAGTTTTTGTATTTACTACTTGTCTCCTGGTTTCCAAGTAATGAGTATCTCTGTGGTCAAATTTTCAAACCTCTGCTTCCAAAAAGGCACAGGAATAAGAGCTTATTCACATGTGCTCAACCCATAACAGCTTCCAGTCTGATATCCTTGGGCAGATTTTTAAAAGCACTTGGCAATAATATTCCAGCAATAGCCTGAAGAGAACTTGGTGATATACTGTGGCCAAAACTCTTCTGGTAGAAAACGTACAATATTTCCAACAGTTAAAATTCATTTCAAAGAAGCAAACTTGTTTGTATCAGAATCCAGGGAAAAAGGAATTGAGCACAGAAACATAAATAAAAAAGGGTGTTCGCATTTGCTTTGTTTGCAGCAGAGAATTATTTTTCTGTTTGAGGATATTTTACTGGTAAATTCCATCCAATGTTTTTTTGAATTCTGAAATTCATTCACAAGTGAGATGTAATATTTTGTGACATATTAACAACACATTAGATCTTGTGAGTTAAAACTACAACAAAAATACTTCCTGCAAACTTTCAGCTTGTTGAAGATGTTGAAAAAAAAGATATTTGTTGTTGATCTAGGCTGATTTTTTTCCCAGCTGTTGGAAGAACTGCCACAAACCAGAAAACCAATTATTCACATGGTTTTAATATTGTTTTGTTTGTTGGTTTGTTTTTTTCAATCTACCTCCACTTTTAGATAAGTTTATGATAAGAAAGAGAAAATTCAGTCCTACGTGTTTCCCTGAAAATACAATTTACTGGATGACCCAGAGAAAAGATCTTCACCTTCTCCTGCAGGTGATTTTATCTCTGTTAGGAAACATGAGGACAGACTGTCATTTTTTGTAGATAATGAAAGTATAATGGAGACACTACTTAAAGATGTCCTATTCTTTCTACTGTACTTAAAGAATTTACTTAAGGAAAAGAGACAGGTTGGATTTGTATATTGCAGTTGTTGTATTATGCAACAAGATACAAGACATTACATTTCTCATTCCTTATTGCTGACTTTTTAATCAGTTCATAACACTTATTGTTTAGACTATCATATATTCATACTCTATATTTAGAATACTTTTACAGATTAAAAAGGAAAACTTTCCATGTATACTGTCTTTTCAGGAAGAGAGAGTAAAAATATAATGAAGCTTGTTTTTGTAACAGAAATATGATGTTAAACATGGGGGAAAGTGTTTTGTGCTGCATTAGAGCCACTGAACTGTTGTTAATTCTAGAAATATTTCTGACAATTAGCTTTCCAGATATTGAATTTGGTCAATGTGTCTTTAATTTTTGTAGTTGATAGCTCCTCAGGGGTTGATATTGGGAGTGGTGGATTTTAACACCTCTGTAGTGACTTGAATATGGGGTTGAATGCAACCTCAGCAAGTTTCCCAAGGACACCAAGCTGTTTAGTGTGGAGGGAAGTGATGCCATCCAGAGACCTGGGCAGTCTGCAGATAGGTGGTCAGTGTGAAGTTCAAAAAGCCAAGTACAAGATGCTGCACCTGAGAAAAGGCAAACCTAAGCACAAACACAGACTGGGTGGAGAATGAATTGACAGCAGAGCACAGTCACTTGAGGAGAAGGACTTGGGTGTGTTGCTTGACAAGAAGCTCAACTTGACAGGGCAATGTGTGCTCACAACCCAGAAACTCAACTATATCCTGGGCTGCAAAAAAGCAGCATGGCCAGCAATGTTGAGGGAGGTGATTCTCGCCTCTACTCTACTGTCATGAGACCCCACTTGGAACACAGCATCCAGATCTGGAGTCCCCAGCACAGGAAGATCATGGACCTGTTGGAGCAAGTCCTGAGAAAGGACATGAGGGTGATCAGTTGTCTGAAGCACCTCTCCTGTGAGGAAAAACTGAGAGAGCTGAGGTTTTTCGCCCTGGAGGAGAGAAGCCTCCAGGCAAACCTGATGAAATTATGGAGAAGGTTATTCTGAGAGCTATTGAAAAAACACTTTAGAGACAGCACAGTCTTTGGTTAGAGCTGGCATGGGTTCATGAGGGGGGAGTCCTGCTTAATGAGCTTAATTCCCTCTTATGAAATCATTCCTCTAGTTCATCGAAGGAAGCCAGAAAATATAGTAGTTTGGGATTTTAACAAAGCTTTTGATACTGTCTCTCACAGTATCTTGTTATACAGAATGTCCAGCACACAGCTAGACAAGTCCATAACATGTTGGGTGAACAATTGGCTGACACAAAGAGGTGTAGTAAATGAGGTCACATCAGGCTGGAAGCCAGTCACCAGTGGGGATCCCCACGGCTCATTTTTAGGGCTAGCACTCTTCAATGTTTTTATAAATGATCTCTACACAAGAGCCAGGCATACACTAAGTAAGTATGCTGATGATACTAAATTAGGAGAAGCTGTGGAATCCCTTGTGGGTAGAGGCCTTACAGAGAGATTGGATTAGACTAGAGAGCCAGGCAATCACCAACCATACAAACTCTAACAGGAGCAAGTGCTGGATTCTTCAGCTGGGAGTAGGTAATCCTAGTTACATGCACAAACTGAGGGCAAGAGGCTGGAGAAAAGCCTGGCAGAAAGAGATCTGATGGTTTGGGTTGGTAGCAAGTTGAATATGAATCAGCATTGTGCCCTTGCAGCACAAAAGGCCAGCTATGTCCTGGGGTGCATCAAGCACAATATCACCGGGCAGTCAAGACAGGTGATCATCCCACTCTGCACTGCACAGGTGTGGCCTCACCTCGAGTCCTGTGTGCAGTTTTGGATGCCTCCATGTAAGAAGAACATCAGACTGTTTGAGTGTGTCTGGAGGAGGGCAGCTGCGATGGTGAAAAGGGCAAGACCCTAAGATGAGTGGCTGAGGTCACCTGGTTTGCTCAGCTTGAAGAAGACAAGGCTGAGGAGTGACGTCATGGCAGCTTAGAACTTCCTCCAGGGTGGCAGTGGAGAGGCAGATATTGATCTCCTCTCTCTGGTGACCAGTGGTTGCACATGAGGAGGTGGAAAATGTTCTCCACCCAGAGGGTGATTAATAACTGGAACACTCTCCCTAGGGAACTGATGAGGGAACCAACCCTCCAGAGTTCAAAAAACATTTGAACAATGCTCTCAGAACACATGGTGGGATTTTGGGGTTGTCCTGTGCAGGGCCAGGAGTTGCACTTGATGGTTCTTGTGAGTCCCTTCCAAATTGAGATATTCTGTGATTCTGTCAGTCTATGGTCTCATCTGTAATATATCTCATCTATCACCTAATTGCCTCATTTATAGCATTATAAGTAAGAAGACACATGGTGTGGAAAAAATACTTAAGAAGAAAAATAGTAGTTGAGGAAATAATAGAAAGAGGAAATTCCAGTGCAGCAGCTTGCATCTCCAGCTGTGATATTCTTCAGGACTAAATGGATAATCCACCATGAAAAAAACCACATAACCAGTCATAACATCTTTGACTAAAATTAGATTTTATCTTCTGGTGAAAGTACATGTTTGCGTGACAGTTGAAAAATCCTGCTGAAGGACAATTTTGCTGATTTTTTGAGAAGTTGTGCATTCTTCAAGAGCACATGATTTCACTGGGAGATGTGACTTCTCAGAATATTTGAAAAATTAAGCATACTGAGTATGGAGGTGAGAAACTCACCAGAAAACAAGAGGTTTATTTACAAATGTCTTTCTATTGAAATAAGCAGTTGAAAAAAGCAGTACCTGTAATGCAAGACAAGAGTGATAGGTAAAAGCTGATCCACTTCACCTTAAAACCAAACTGACACAGAGATACCTTTGAGAGAATCACATATTTGTCCAAATCCAGAAGGCAAGAGGTAGACCATCTGAGTTTGGACAGTTACAGTAAACTTGAGAGGAAAACCGACTAGTTATTCTGCACTTCATTGACTGTGAATAAAGTGAACGAGGTTTATTCAAGACATGCTGGAGAGCATCTCCCTGTAAGCCTGCAACAACTTTGCCTGCAAAAGGGACCACAAAGTGCAGAAAATGCACAGAAATCAACAGCAAACACACAGGTGTCGTACTGTCACATAAGCTGACCCTACTTGAAAATTCTTGCGTGACAGAATTTTGCTTTTACAAAGGTGAATTTGCATGTGGAGTGGGCAAAGCAAAAAGCACATGTTTTGGAAAAAGTGTGGCGATCAGGACTCAGAAGTAAAACATGGTAGAAACCAACCTGCATTATAAACACTGTCTTCAGAAAAAAAAAAATGGCAGCACATGAGCACTTCCAGACAACAGACCTAGACATGATGGGTTTGTCTGCATTTTCCCAGGGCTAGCATCTTCCCCTTTGTATGACTTTTGAAAATGAAGGCAGAAAATTAAACAAACAAAAACCAACAAAAACCCAAATAAAAACCAAACAAAAGCCCCAAACCAATCATTCAAAAAAGCCCCAACCAAACAAAAAAAAAACCAACAAAAATCCACCAAAAAAAACCCAAAACAAAACAACACCCCCCCAAAAAAACCCCAAACCAAACAAAAAAAACCCCAAACCAAAAAACAAACAAACAAACAAACAAACAAAAACAAAACAAAAAACCAAACCAAACCAAAAAACAAAACCAAAAAACCCCCCAAACCCACAGGCATGACAGTAAAAGAGAAAAAGCAGAACATTTTTGTAAGAAAGCATAGTCAAGACTATACATGCTGCTTGGCTAAAAAGAGAATTCAAGATGACACAAGAAAGTCCTGATAGCTTTCCAAAAGCAAGGGTAAAAAAAGAGGTGTTAAAACATGCAGAGATGAATAGAGTGCGCAAAGAACCATGGCAAGCACAGACAAAGAGAAACACAGTGCCAGTACATTCTGCCTTCTCTTCAGGGGCTTTCAAGGACACCAGAAAAAGGGAACAAGTGAGTTCACTGAGGAAGAAAAAATTCCACCAACAACCTGTTGATCCAGGAAGCCTGCTTGTGGCAAAGTGCCTTTGACTCACACCAGTTTGTACAAAATTTGTCCAAAAGAGGGTACCTCAACCCCACTACTGACATTACTGTGCAAGGAGACTTTTGCATGTAGTCAAAATGTGAGGATGTCTAAGGATTTCACACCTGTTTTGGAGGAGATACCTTTCAGGGCATGGTATTAGGGAAATCCATGTACAGCTCTGCTGCTGGATCTGTAAAGCAGGAAATGGAGGAGGATATTTCTGAAAGGGCAGCAAGAACTGACTGACACTAATCTTCACGGCCACTTTGGAGTTTTTCACTGAGCTCCTTCTTCTCTGCCACCTGAGCTATTCATGAGCATATCCCAAGATAAGCACTACCTGATCCCCACAGCTACTTTTCTCAGCATCATACAGTGTGATCCCAGCCCAGGAGAAACTCCCTGCTGGAGCGTGGGCTGATGCTCTGCATCAGAGATGAAATAGGCACATGCCATGAATACTGCCCATAATTTCAGGGCTCATCTTCATCAGTTGTGATGAAGACAGGGATTCGATTGTGCTATTTCACCAGCTGCCTGGAGACAGGCTCCTGGCAGATCTAGCTCAGTTGGTAATGCAGTGACGAGGACACTGCCTTGCAGATTGGTGTTAGCTAGCTAAGCCATGCCACTGCCAGCCCCATGACACCTCCTAGAGATGGGGTACTCATGTCAGCTTTTCCTCACACATAGGACCAGGGTCAGTGAAATTTGAGACATGGAGTGCTGCAAGTAACAAACTAAGAGGCTGAAACACCCTGCATAAGCAGCTAATAGGCCTTTTGTGGGTTGTATTCTGGTTATTTTACCTGCACAGCAGAAGGGTGCAGTTCAGTTGGGAATCACCCTTATATCAATTTTAGAGGGACAACAAATACAGTGATCATTTTAATTACATTAAAACCATGTCTAACAGCTAACCTTGGGCAGACGCTTTTGCATCTTGGCTGTATTTGAATGGATTCAGCTTGTACTCAGATTTGGATTCAGGTTTACCCCTTAATCTTCCATTTCTTTATAATTTCATCTAATTTCATTCCACGCAACCTCCTCAGCAAAAGCTTTTGTCATGACATAAAGCAGATTGGTTGTCATTGCACCATTCACTTTGTCTGAACTCTCCTTCAAGATCAAGGATGCACAGTTTGTTTATTTGTTTGTTTACATATTTATCCAGGCTGCAAACCCAGATTTTAGAGAGGGCCATGAGGAGTCTTTGATCTTGAGCAATAATCAGCAATGAGCTTTTGATTTCTGCAACTGCTTACATTGTTTTGCTATGGCTTACAAACTCAAGGTTCTCTTCCTAGGTAGAAGGACAAGAAACATTTCCTTTGCTCTTGTTGTTCAAATTGTTCGCTTGTTACCATTTAAGATGAAAGTTTATGCTTTCCACAGCTTTTAAGAGATACAGATTGCACTTTTTTCTTAGATATGATGAAAATAGAATTCCTTGTTTATTTATCAATGGAACAACAGAATGGGAAGGGAGGGGGAAACACAGCTGAAGGATTACCCAAAACAATAGATTTTTCCTCTTTTGAAAAGCCGTGACATGGGGAATAGTTATAGCACAAATCAACCCACCTGCCCCACAAACAGCACAGCATTGCTGCAATCGGTCTTATTCACAGCAGCTGTCTTGTGACTGCGTAACTGCTCCCCACAGGCTGTGACTCCCTTCTCTAGGATGTCCTCAGGTATCCTCCAGAGGCTGCTGCACTGCCCTATTTCCTAGAGTTTTTACTCCAGTCTTATGGCTTTTATGCTGCCTCCACAGTCAGACTCTTTTTCTGCTTCACAACAATAACTGCTCTCAAACAGTTATCAGACTATATTTCCTAATTAGAGAGATGTAGGCAGTACAACATGCACAATGCCAATAATGTGGTATTATCAATGGCTTATGGATGTTTATCTAGTACCTGCCAAAACTGTGACTTTTATTGCTGCCTGGTATAATGTTTTGGCAGTCTTTTGGCATCAAAAGAGAGATAGTTAATACTCATTCACGCCTCAATGAAAATCAAAAGACAACACTCCTCTGTAAACTTGGAAAGTGATTACCACTCAATGTTGCACAGAAATTACAATGCAAAAACCAGGCAAACCAAAGATGGAATTTCATTTAAAAGTTCTGCCTTAAGACCTCAAAATCCCATTCCATCCATGCATGTGTACTGGATGGAAAAGTTTTAGCAGCAACTTGTTTTGCTAAGTAAACAGTATCAAGTTAAGACAGAAGGAAAGTATTTCTATTCCACTGACATCTAAACAGCAATAGATTATGCCTAGTAGCAAGTTATGAATAGATTTCATGTTCTGAAACTTCATAATGCTCTTAAATTTTAAGTTGCTTGTATTTAGGAAGATTTTGTTTAAACTAAAATGAAACCATGAATGCTGCAGAAATGACCTCTTGTTTTTCAGTACACTTAGAAAAACATCGGTGTTCTCTTTTTTTAATCACATGGAAATTTACTTTTGCTAACAAACATTAGTTTTTATGAATCCACATTAAAAATATTTTAAAAAATTGTACCAAAGTGGTGAATATCTTGTAGTTCTAAAAGATGACTTCCAGGAATATTGTTTAAAACCAAAGTCTCAGATAACTTCCTACTATGAGTTCTGAAAAAGATAAATAGAAACAAAAGAGAAATCAGTCGTGTCTGTTCATCAATTTTTTTCAATTTTGAATACACCTACAGAAGACAACACAGAAAATTTACAGTTTCCTATCTTGTAATACCTTTTGAAAATGTCTACATCTTTCGAACTAGACTAAGGAAGAAGGTCATAAAGATATCAAATTTTGCAGTGGAAACCTTCTGGACCTGTATCTGATAGCAGGATTTAGCTTTCAAATTGTATTGGAAAGTATTATTTGTTTGTGTTTCAAAAAATATGCATGGTAGACCCTATATAACTATAACTATATATACAAGTGTGGACCAGCCGGTCCAGGGAGGGGATTGTCCTGCTCTGCTCTGCACTGAGGTGGTCTCACCTTGAATATTGTGTGCAGTTTTGGGAATCACAATATATTATATTAATATATATTAAGCTCTCAGAGAATGTCCAAAGGAGGGCAACAAATATGGTGAATGGCCTTGAGGGGAAGACGTATGAGGAGTGGCTGAGGTCACTTGATGTGTTCAGCCTGGAGGAGTGGGAGGGAAGACCTCATTTCAGTCTACAACTTTCTCATGAGGGGAAGAGGAGGGGCAGGCACTGATCTCTTCTTTGTAGTAACCAGTGACAGGACCTGAGGGAATGGCTTGAAGTTGTGTCAAGGGAAGGTTTAGGTTGGTTATTAGAAAAAGGTTCTTCACCCAGAGGGTGGCTGGGCACTGGAACAGGCTCCCCAAGGAAGTGGTCACAGCATCAAGCCTGACAGAATTCAAGAAGTATTTGGATGACACTGTCAGGCCCATGTTGTGACTCTTGGGGATAGTCCTGCACAGGGCCAGGAATTGGACTCGATGATCTTTGTGGGTCCCTTCCAGCTCAGCATATTCTGTGATTCTGTGATCTTAGTACATTTTTAGAAACTGTCTCCTATTTTGTGCAATGCTTCTACCTCCCTCCTACAGAACTACCACTTGTGGGCTGGTGTGTAGAAAAGGAGAGGGCTTGTGGATTCCAAAAACAGGCCTCCATTTCACACCAAGTGTAATTCCAGGTAAAAGGGGCCCTGGTAGTGATAACAAGAAGAAAAAAATTACCACAGATAATATACCAGCATGCATAACCTGAGGTTGTCTGAACAAAACTTCTGAAGATGCTGGGTATTTTCACTAAATAATGGAAATATTCACTACCCAAGCTGTCTGGGCAATTTAGCTGTTCCACCTGCATGAATTTGCAAACCCGCACTGCAGAAGCACCTTACCTTGTTTGCAGTGTCATTGTCATACTTCACTGGTGCGAGCATAAGGAACAAGAACCCAGGTGGCTCTGGTAAGTCCCACAAGCTCTCTGATATCGGTTTCAGAGCTGTGAAGTATTCTTCACTTGGTTTTTAATTTTAATGCGTTGCTACTTGTGACCTCTAAACCTATATCCTAAACAAGGACACACTCTGAATTTGTTTTGAGAACTGGTGAGAAGCATTTCATAATTATTCTGCTTTCAGCTGTGTGCTGGTTTAAAAGTTAACCATCAGGGGAAATGAACTCAACTCAAAAGAGTGATTATAAGTCAGAATAACAATTTAATAAAATAATACAATAAGTACGATTATACAGACAAGCAATTTGGTTTTAACCCACAAAACCCAAATGTATAACCCAGCACCCTGGGGCATGAACAAAGTGGTGTTTCTTGCCCCCCACCCCCCGAAGTCCAAAGTAAAGGGAGAGGGGAAAAAAACCTGCTGGTGGGAGAGCTGTTGCAGTCTGGTCAAAAGTGGTGATTGCACTCCAGCTGAGGGTGGTGAGCTGCAGTCTGGCTGAGAGCGGTGAGCTGCAGTCTTCCTCTGGATCCCATGAGTGGTAAAAAGGTTCCAAAACTCCAAGTTTATATATTCTCCAGTTCAGGCAGGAATGCTCAGTCCTCCCCTCAGAGCGGGGAATTCCATAAAAGGGTATGAGGACAGGAACATCTACAGGCCTCTACTGCTAACAATTTCTGGGAAATGGCATGGAAGGCTATAGAATACACAGTTTTGAGTTACACCCATACCATGATGAACTGGTCTCAGCTGTCCTAACTAGTACAAGCTGCTCACCCTCTGTGCATTCAGCTTTCTTGCAAATTATTTTCCACCAGTATTTCTGCATGAAATTCCTGGTATCCTGTATAGAAAATTTCCTTTATCTCTGAGAGCACAGGATTCTTAAAAAGTGGACCTTCTGAATAGTTAGAGAAAAATGAGATGCATCAGCACAACTACACAGCAGAGGAACAAGAGGCAACAGTCACAAGTTGTAGCAAAGAAAATTCCAATTGGATATAGGGGAAAAAAAAATATTGTTGTATGAGTAGTTTAAGGACAGGACAGGTTGCCCCAAAGTGTGAAGTGTTGTGAAATCTCTGTCTTTGGGGATTGCCAAGGTGTGACTGAACAAATTCCTGAGCCAAGTGAGCTGGCTTTGAAATCAGAGCTCCTTGAAGCAAGAGGCTGAGCCAGATGACCTGCAGGACTCCTTCCACCCTCAGTTACCCTGTGGCCCCACATTCTTTCCACAGCATCACCCTTTAGCACAGCTGGCATGCCAGGCTACATCCGAGAGCAAATCTGAAGAACAAGATTATCATGTGGCACTGTGCCATTCATGGCACAAAAATTTTACTAATACTCAGGCAAAACTACTTTAATTTCACCCTGATATTTCATAATGAACTTTCATGTAATGGATATAATTTGATTATAAAAATAAGCTTTACAACTTTTAAATATACAAAATATTCCCTTTTGTTATCTCTATAGTAATCATTCATATCTAAAGCTTAATCTTCCCTCTTAAATCACATCTAAACTGCAAAATAGTTTTACATTTCCTTCTATGATTCTGCTGCTGTCCAAAAGCAGATGGTAAAGGTAAAGCCTTGTCCCCTTTGCACTCAAAACATGGAACATTTAAAAATTTATTTTGATTATATAAGATTTTCATAGAATCATCATAGAATTATTTGGGTTGGAAGGGACCTTAAGAATTATCTAGTTCCAACCTCCCTGCCATGGGCAGGGACACCTTCCACTAGACCAGGTTACTCAGAGCTTCATCCAACCTGGTCTTGAATACTTTCTGAGATGGGACATCCACAGCTTCTCTGGGCAACTGGTTCCAGTACCTCACCACTCTGGCAGTCAAAAATTTCTTCCTAACATCCAATCTAAATCTCTCCCTTTTTAGTTTAAAACTGTTTCCCTGTGTCGAATTGTGAGAAATACCTCTAATTAAAATTTTGGAGACAGTCAAATAAAGGGAAACGAAGAACTTTATTAACAGTGTGCTTGGTGCACTGACCTCGTGACTCGGTTCGAGCACATCCAAATGAGAAGGACAAGTCCCTTTAAGACCCTTTGATTTGCATAACCACTCCCTTGCTCCCCTCATGCCAGCCCTCGCTCTTTTCTTCCTTAAAAGACGATCTTTGCCTTCTGGTGCAGTCCGCTGGTTGTCCTCATCCACCTATCAGGTTGTTTCCCTGCCCCTGGCCGCATGGTTCCCCGGCAGTGAGCCCACGCTGGTCTCCCCACCTTACATTCTTCCCAGCTCGCCTTCGCACTGTAACAGTAAGCAAGCAGAACAGTCAGTAACAATAAGTAGCAGTAAGCAGGCAGAACTATAAGCAGAGCAATAGGCAACCTCGAGCAGAACTGTATGTAGCAGCAGGTAGGCAGCAGCAATAAGCAACTTCAAGCAGAACCATAAGCAGTCCACCAGTCCCCGACCACAAAATAGTTCCCCAGTCCTTCAAACAAAATGGGTCCCAAGTGCTCTGGCACAAGACAGCCATGGAAACTCCTGCTTGTAATAAAACCGTCCTATTTCTTTCCCACAGAATCACTATCTTTAAGTGTAAAAAATCATTCTCTAGCTTTTCTATAAGGCCTCTTTCATCCATCAGAACCCCCAAGTCCTTCTTGGCAGGTCTCCTCTCAGTGAGCATATACTTGTGTACACATGGGACTTCCCTGACCCAGTGTCTTAGTTTAGCAAGACACAAATGTCCATTAAGGAGGGCGGGGCAGAAAAGAGGAGCCAATGTCCTCCCTTTATGTTATTACAACTTTGAAATAAAGAGGCTTCAGGTGAAAGGTGTGGAAAGGGAAAATAACAGCCCTTTATTAACAAACCTGAATAAACAACAATGGTGCAACCAAAACTTTCAAAACCAAAGTCCTAATTCCTGAGGTGGAGGGGCTCCCATGGCAAATCAGGGGGGCCAAGAGTGGGCTGTCCCCAGTGGTTCAACAAGTGCTCACAGCCATGTTAGCCATGGTGGCTCCTTGGCCAACAATTAAGTGGGTTTTTTTCCCGCCGGTCCTAGGGCTCTGGTGCAGTTCTCGGGTCACGCAGCCGCTGCGGGAAGATGCTCTGATAATGCAGGCCCACAGCCCGGGGCGGAATAACTCGATCCGAGACGATTGGGGGGGCTTTTCCAGTCATTCCTCCACAGCAGTACTAGGAGGGGAGAAAAAACTAAATTTCTTCTCAGGGAAAAGGGGGGGGCAGCCGAAACTGAGGGTGGCTGCCGCTCTGTCAGTTGGTGGATGGCAGGCCCTACAGAAAAAAGGTGGTCCGAGGCGTGGCTCTGGTTGGTTTTATAGAGAAGCCTCCCCCACTCCCGTGCCGCTCTGTGTGCGACCCTGCTCCTTCCACCTTTCCATCTCCCCCCACTCTGGAAAAAAACGGATGAGGGGGGAAGTGGGAGGAAGGGGTAGGCTTTCATTGTAGGTGCACACTATCCAGTAATTGATATTGGGGAAGAATTCCAACAACTCTTTTCAAACCTACAACTTGTTAAACTTCCTGAGATTCTCCTGGGCTCTCTTCTCAATTTCGTTCGGGTGTCTCTGGATGGCACCACATCTTTCTGTAGAGTCAGCTGCACTGCTCATCTGCAAACTTGCTGAGGATGAACTCGATCCCTCTATCTATGTTACTGATGGAGAGTACTGGTTCTAAAACAGACCTCTGAGGGACACCACTTGTCACTGGTCTCCGCCTGGACCTAGCTCCATTGATCACAACTCTCTGGCCGAGTCATCCAGCCAATTCCTTATCCATGGAATAGCCCACCTTTCGAACCCCTGTCTTTCCAATTTGGAGATAACGATGCCATTGTGGGGCTGTGTTGAAAGCCTAAGAGAAACCTAGGTAGATAATATCTGTATCTGGAGTCATTTTTTTCTCACATGTTTCAGTTAATGTTTCCTGAAACTATCTAAATTTATTATTTTATTATTTAGATTGCAAATAGATGGTGTTTCTATATATCTATATGCATGCCTGATTTTTCACTGCCATTCTGTTCACAGTTCCATTCATTTGTCTCTCTGGAAACACAGTGTAAGGTGTCCTCAACCTCTACATATCTATTAACTGAGACTGGGCTTATCCCTATCTCCACAACTCAGTTCTAGTTTTACCTTTGTTCTGTATCTGGACTCTGAGTTCTATTGTCTGTTGTGCAACTATTCACAACACGTGCCAGTTAATTACCTGCTGGAAAATGTTTTATTTGTCCTTAATTCATTCTTTTTATTCTGGCAGGATGTGACTTTCCAGAAGGAAAACAAGCCACCAGGCCAGTCTGAATTCCTTGTTGATCTGCTTTTACCACATCTGACTTTCTTTTATTAGATATATGCAAAATTAGATCTGTAATTATAGGTCTTATTATCCCATCCTTTCTAATCTAGTGACAGATGTTCCCTCTGGCATCTGGTAGTTCCTAAATATGAGATAAGGAAAGAAGTTTAGGAAGGTAAGTTATTAACTTGGATTGTCAACACACCATTTTTCAATGACAAGCAGAAGGGCTAGGTGATCTGTAGAAGTGGAAAAGGAAACTGTTACAGCCATAGACACTGAAATTCTAACAGGGATGAAACAGTACATGCAAGCACATTTATGGAAAACCAGCAGAAAGATACCTGATGCGTGGATTATGTGCTCACAACATTATTGACATAAATAATGCCTGGCAAAAAAAAAAAAAAAGGAAAAACCCTACACTTCGGAAAAGAGAAAAGGAAAGTAAAAATGGAATTTATTCTGCACATCAATCAGCTTGCTTTTTTCAGGGTTTTTCCCTCCTTCTTAGATTTCTTTCAAGCTTTATTGCCACAAACTGTTTGGAAGATAATGTGTTTGTCTGAGATTCCCAGGATTACCCCCTCAAATCAAGGTTCTGTTTTCAACATGAGATGTTTAGATTATTCAGTAGGGTGTATGTTGAGGTCCATACGGAAACTTAAAAGAGGTGATATGAAGCTGCAGAAGACTCAGAGGAAGACATTTCAAAGGAGAGGCTCTTAATATTCAATTATTCTAGAAAATGTGAGAACAAGGCTCTACTTCTAAGAATAGTCTGAGAAAGCAAAGAAGCAAGTGGGAAATCTGGATACATGCTGTCACCTATTTGGCCCAAACAATGACAGTGAAGCAAGCTCTCACACATCAGTTTTGCATATTGAAGCTGGCGTGCTGCTTCCAGTGTAAGAGGAGAAGAAGCAGGGAAGAGGAAAAGTATTACAAAGTATTCTTTTCTGGTCGTCACAATCCATAGAAACTAAAGCAATTCATAAAGATTCCCACAGCAACTTCTTCATAAAACAGAACACAACTAACAGAAAAAAACCCAGAGTTAAATCAAGCCTTCTGTGATTGAGCCTCTAGGCTAAACTGCATCTCCCATGGCCAGTACAGATTCCTGTATGAAATATGCTT